AATGCAACACTTTGTGTCTTTTACTTAAATTACATTGGTATACATTGTGCTACTGGGTCAGCGTGACATGTAATATTTTCGTAGTACAGGCGTGTTTATCGACCCAACACAAGATTGTTAGTGGCCTGGTTTCGATCACGGGTGTAAATGATAACGCACGACAGTCAAGTTGAACGCTATTGCACAAGACTGATGTTATCTCTCTCCCAAGACGACCTCATTCAAATAATCTATTGCGCATAGTGTTTCTACTATTAATATCTCGTCTATTACTGATTATAATGGATTAGTGTGTGTATTCTACCGTCTGTTATAGTGATATTTTTTGAACATTTGAAAGCTGCGCGGAGGGGTCCTGAATATTACGTGCCTACTCATTTTGTTGCCCTCTATAGATGTACCATTGTCATTTTGGCTCTTAAGGTCTTAAGGTTCTCATCAAACCATCGATATACCTGAAGCTTAGGTTAAACCTCTTGGCCAAATGTCTGTGTTTGAGTTTGCCAGTCAGAGCAGAAATTTCGAATCAAATGCATAAAGATGCATCTAAGATTTCACCTAGATGTTATCCAGCATTTCACATAGTTTTATCTCAGTAAATTTCAGATGTTATGTGCTTTCATTTTGGCAAAGTGTCCTTAATCTTTGAAGAAGTATATGTAAAATCTACGTATATTGGAGAGTTTCAGTTACAAAAACAGGTTACGTCGTTTCTAAGTTCTGTCATGATATCATTGTCATTTTGTTAACAAGTGTATAACTGTTGTGAATGAGAAAAGGAAAACTAAAACAAACAAATGATACATACTGTGTTAAAAATTCACAATTATATCAATGACCACATGTCACAACATAACCTACTTCTATGTAACTATATCTACGGTCAGCACGTTAAGTGACAAATGACCCATTGACCAATGTCAGGTTAAACATAAACCTCTAAACCAAATAACAAAAATACATTTTCTGCGTAGATATTAAACCCAACAACTGTCAACTGAGATATTAAAAACAAATAAATGATATATACTGTGTAGAAATTCACAATCCCATTTGTGACCACTGTCGAGACAACAACATGACTGTAACTCCTTCCTGGAAAATACTCAGTAAAACATGATTGATTATACAGCCTGTCAGCGGCCGTTATCAAGGCGAGGCTATTCTAGGAAATGAACAGTAACCATGCGCATGCCCGCTGAGAATACATGCATTAATAGTTGAATGTGATCTACTGTGAATGTTTAGTGGGTCGATTGGGATTTTCCAAAGTTGTTGGTGCATTTCACGAAGTAAAAACATTGATGCATATTCAGAAGAATAAAAAATGAGAGTACTTTAGAGTTATGTCACTGTGACCTGTCTCTTCTCCGCTACATTTAGTCATTATGCTAAAGCAAGCATGCATGGCCAAGTCGAAGGGTACCGAAATTTACTGTGCAGAAGACTGTCTCCGTAGCCTATAGCGTAGAGCGTCATACCAAAAGACGTTAAGAGATGGTACTGGTTGTTGCCCTGTTTGGCGCTGGGCATTAAGGGGCTAAAACAAGGACTGGTGGGCTCGGAGTCAGTATACTGTGTCTGAGTGGGGTATTCATGTTAAACTGCGGCATGGTATCTCAGTGAGCTAGCACTATAAATCGGCATCAGTCCGGACTAGTACAAGCAGCCACACACACATACGGGTGCATGAACGTCGCTATATAAGTGCAATAATCTTGGACGCGACATTAAACCCCATTTCACCTCACCTCTTAAGTGTCCGAAACACACACACACACACACACACACACACACACACACACACACACACACACACACACACACACACACACACACACACACACACACAAACAAACAAACACACACTGCACGTCGCTATATAAGTGCATTAATCTTGGACGCAACGTTAAACCCCATTTCACCTTACTGTGCAGAGCTTCGCCCTCTATCCGTAGTTCCTAATGTCAGATTCTCTCTGATTATAATCCCTGGTTTGTGAGCACCATACGTTACCCATTCCCTTTGGCTTTTCCAAAGTGTTAAACGTCTTAAAGCTCCATCACGTTTGTCTCGTACATAAAGCAGAATTCCTGTTCAAAGCGGCGTTGACGTTTGTATATATATTTTATGTTGCAGTCATACTTTTCACATACATATAAATACCGTGTGAAAAATTGAATGCAACATAAACAAATTCTATTTATTCGTAAATAAATATGCAGAATGACAGGCAGTCAGATAAAGACATATTCAAAAAATAAATAAAAAATACTGTCAAATTATCTCTATATCACATTTCGACTGAAAGTACTTGAATAGATAATTCACAGAAATCCTTATTGTTATTGCGCTGCTTAAAATCATTATTTTGCTGAACGTTTCTGCAAATAACACCAGTCAAGTGCGACCGTAATGTTGTAATGTGCATCACAGTGTCAGTGTGACATATGGAACCGTAGTACAAGCGTGTGTGCAGTGTCTGGCTGATACAAAAACGAGGTGTTACAACAAGAGAGCCTTTGTTGGTTGTTGCTATGTTTAAGTGAAGCTCAACTTTATGACAACATATAAGAGGCGAGGCGAGGCGAGGCGAGGTGAGGTGAGGTGAGGTGAGGTGAGGTGAGGTGAGGTGAGGTGAGGTGAGGTGAGGTGAGGTGAGGTGAGGTGAGGTGAGGTGAGGTGAGGTGAGGTGAGGTGAGGTGAGGTGAGGTTAATCTAGGGTTAATCTAGGGTTAATCTTTATCGAGACCTCGGAGAAAGGGTAAACCGCGGGGCATTTTAACTTTATTCAATTCATCAAACGTTTCATTGGATGTGTCCCGACACAATACGTTTATCCTTGATTATGTAGCAATGCCGCAATGTCAGGACCTAAAATAGTTTATGGGCAAAATGTTAACAGTTGCCTTTCTACATATGTATGCGAAGGTAGCGATACATCCCTGATGCACACTGATAAAGTCAGTCAACATGTGCAGTATTCAATACAGAATAAGCGAGGCGAGGCGAGGCGAGGCGAGGCGAGGCGAGGCGAGGTGAGGTGAGGCGAGGTGAGGTGAGGTGAGGTGAGGTGAGGTGAGGTGAAGTGAGTTTTTCCTATAGTTTATCGGCAAAATGTTAACAGTTGCCTTTCTACATATATATGAAAACGTAGCGATACATCCCGCACCTTAAAACTGATAACGTCAGTCAACATGTGCAATATTTATAACAGGATACCCCGTCAATAACATATTTCAGCTTCTATGCATAATACTATGATAACGTTTGATTAACAGCATTTACCCGGGAAGTAAACAGCAGCAACAATTGCTTTCGAAATGTTTCTATTACCTTATGTCTGGGTTATATTAAGAACGAGGAAGTACTCCTAACCCGGTTTTGAAATACTTGAACCTTTCCTCATCATCATAACACGGGGAGCATTTCTCACTTACGGACGCCATCGATTGTAATATAGAACCAGCATGTCATAAACAAGAACATATTACACACGTCAACACAAAAACACCCAAACTTTAACCCAAAAAACAATTTAGTTTGTGCAAAATAACAAGAATTTGCGTTTGCTAAAAAGGTGAGGTGAAATGGGGTTTAACGTCGCATTCAAGATTATTGCATTTATATATATATAGTGTGTGTCTGTGTTAATTCGGAATAATGCCGCTTTATTTAGTGTTATCCCACCGAAGTACCGTTCCGCAGTTCAACATGCATACCCCACTCAGACACATAATACTGACGACGAGACGAGCAGTACTCGTTTTACCCAATATACAGAGGGTCAAGCAGGGTGGCCACAACTACCATCGTTTAACGTGTCTTTGTATGATGTGGCAGGGAATCAATCCATCGACCTGCCACTCTCTGCGGAGACGCTCTATGCACTGGACCAAAGAGGCAGTCACAACGCATTTGACACACATATCTATTTATTTTAAGATAGTACTGAATCCTTGACAAATATGTGTCCTGGTGCATAAAACACGTTAAAAGATATGAGTATTCATAGTATTTACCCTCGTCCTGCGTGTTTGATATAAGGGCCGACACTGGGATGGGAATTTTGTACTGTTTAAAATGATATGAATAACCTCTCTGTGGCCTTAATAAATGTTCATGAATTAAATGATTGTTTTCGTTTATACATTTTATCAGATGTGCCTGAAAATAAGACGTGTTCATATTCTGACTTTAAAATAAATATAAGTTTGTTTAAATGGGTACATTTATATGTATTTATCATTGATTATACACGCGTGCCATTATCCGTGGAACACTCATCTATTAAGAATATATCGATATAGTAGTGTAAAATAGTTGTACAACACAACATTAACCAAAACGAAATGGGGTGTACAAGGCTGTAAGTCTCAACTGACAAAGGGGTAGTACTCCTGGCGCTTTTAGCAGACATCTCCTTCTCAATACACATTCCGGTGCAGTTTCGCTGTGCAGACTTGCGTCCCTTGAGCACGCCAGAAACCTATGGGGTTCACCGAAGTGGTAGACGTCAGAGACCTGCATCACTTCGGGCTTTCCTCCCACGTTAAGCTGACACGCCGCGATATAACTGGAATACTGTTAAAACCCAACTCACTCACTCACAGTACAGTGATGATTTAACACCACTGCCCAAACTTAATTTCGGACTTTCCCCTTATTCCGAAATTAGAGCTGTTCGGCCTGATGAAATCAGTGCGTTTACAATTTACAATTATTAAGTGTTCAATCGCAGGACGTGTTCTGTCTGATTTTTCTGATGTTTTGCTAAAAATAAGTCATGCATGTGTCTTGCATAATCCGGATTACGAGGTCTTCTGCAGGGCAATTATTAAATAATTTAGGGTTCACCAAGTGAAATGCGATATAACATAACCTACGAGGGCCATTCAATATATAACCAGCCTAATCTATTTGCTACTGCTCCTCACTTCTTCTTTTTCCACATAATCACCATTGAGGTCTATGCACTTTGTCCAGCGATGTGTGAGAGCTCAAAGCCCGTTTTGATAGAAACCATGGGGTTGTTCGTGTAACCACCCCTCCACTGCTGTCGGGAGTTCATCATCGGACCGGAAATGACGTCCACGCAGTTCTTTCTTCAAGTTTGGTAAGAGAAAGTAGTCGCTTGGTGCCAGGTCTGGTGAGTAAGGTGGATGAGGCAATACTTTGAACCCGTTCCGCTTCACTGCGGCAACCGCAAGTCGACAGGTGTGCACTCTGTCATTATCATGTTGGAGCAGCACACCTTTTGTGATCTTTCCACGACGTTTGGCAAGAATAGCAGTCCGCAAACGGTCCAGGAGATCGGAGTAGTACTCTCCAGTAATAATCTGGCCGCGTGGCAAGTAGTCAATGAGCCCTTTGGTATCCCAAAAGATGGTTGCCATGACTTTGCCAGCCGGTTGCCATCATGGTTGACTCTTAAACTTTTGGGACGGGGTGAAGCAAAGCAAATCCACTGCTTACTCTGTTCTTTGGCTTCTGGGTCATAGTGGTGTACCCAGGTTTCATCACCAGTAACAATTCTCTCCATAAAGTTGTCCGCATCCCGACTGCATTGCGTCAAAAGTGCCTGACACATTGACGCACGTACAGCCTTCTGATCATCACTCAGACATTTCGCGACCCATCGGGCAGACAGCTTCCTCATACCCAGATGATCATGCAAAATGTCAGGACACTTCCCTCTGAAATGTCCAAGGCCTTGGCCATTTCTGACACCTTCATTCGCCTGTCTTTGACAACCAATTGTCTCACAGCTTCACTGGTTTGGTCATAGGTCACCTCTACAGGCCTGCCAGGGCGTGGCTCATCTTCCAGGTTCACCCGACCCCTCTTAAATTCTGCAACCCAGAATTTGACCTGTGCATACGAAGGTGCACCGTCACAATAAACATCTCCTTTCCCGGTTTCCCTTTTAAGTGGAGGTACCTAATAACAGCCCTGTATTCAACCTTTGACGAAAAATTGGCAGAATCTACCCTTGCCATCTTTATAGATTACGTGTGTGACTTCAAATACAATTTCCTCAGTGAAACTTTGTCTATGCACGTGACATACATTGGTGCACAGCACGTGACAAACATGCAACCGTTAAGATCTGATAAATAGCTTAGGCTGGTTATATATTGAATGGCCCTCGTACATGAACGTAGACGTTGATGTACATTTACAGTTCATTTTCCTTGTTTATTATCACAATATCTGTATACAAATACACACACAAAATGGCCAGGTGTATATGTTTACCTAGGTCGTCATGGAAGAGACACTGTATTTAAATTTCAATACACATGTCGTTCTGTATGCCCGCAGTGTTGAGGAATCTCGATGTGTGTTTTTACTGTTAGGTGGAGTATAGAAATTAAAGCGACAAAACCCTTTCAATATTCATAAAAAGAAAGATCTGCTAAAAGCAGAGTCCATTGTACGATTCCGACTATATCATCAATCTCATTCAAATCAGATCTGAGTTCTCGCTGCCGCTAAACAAAGATCTGAGGACATCCCATATCGGGTCACGTCAGAACGACCTTTCATCCAACCAATCAATGCGTCGCTTACCAGATCATGAAAGTGACAGTTGGAAACTCGGAACACGGGTTATTCCGAACGTCAGTTAGGGCCCTTGACACTGATTCCTTCAAAATTATCGTCTATCTCTCGCTTCCGTGGGATAAACATTTGAATGGAGAAAGCATTGCACAGTACGTGGGAAGCACTGCCAAACAATCTTAACCACATATTAGACATTCCGGAATGTTCGTTTGTTCATTTTTTTAAAATTTATATCAAGAACTGTGTCCAAATACTTTTCAAGCGTAGTCTGAAATGAAAGTCGCCAGGTTACTTACTTACTTACTTTGGAGATTTAACGTGCGCTTTCCGACTGATGCGTATTTCGCCAGGTTTGAAACGGACCGTCTATATACACGACATCGTGCAAATAGTGGAACAATGCCGTGCAATATACACGACTGGAAAACTCCCTTCTCCGCCGTGAGACGCGAACGCTGATTGGTCTATTTATTTTCTACACAACAAACCTGGTTCCCGATCTCAGTTGCGCTACGCTACATTGAATATAGCTCCCCAAAATGTTAACTCTACACCATAGTGCGGGTATCGTTTCTAAAAAGATATATCTAGATAATAAAAATTCTTTACTTGTTGATAAAATTGTAATTTCTTCTCTAAACGTCTGTGAAGATATAAAGGTTTGCTACGGTAGATAAACCAGGTATCACGGATAGTTAAAAGTTTTGCAGTCGTACAGACATGTTGTGAACATAGAGATCTTAAATATTTTGAATAAACATACTTTACCTAATGAGATACTAGTTTTACGAACCAGAATATTTATAGTTTAGTTTTGTTGAACCAATTAAAATCAAAACATAATTTCCCCTATTAAAATACTACGAACCTTCTGGTAAAACAAAATTTACGAACTTTCTGTAAAAGAGCAAGCAATCTGAAGCAAACATTTATTTTCCGCATTTATGTTGTTAAGGCTGTGGCTATTTATACTGAAAAGATCAGGGAGTTAACTTCCTTGGAGAGTGTTTACGTGCACTTCAGTCGTGTACCTGACTGATGCAATCGGGTTGTCAAAGCAAGCTGAAACATTTTGTATTGCATACTGTCTGTTTGAAAGTATCATGTCAATGTGCTGCATGACTTGCCAATCCATTCAATAATTGGAATCCATTTTTAAAAATAAATAATTTTCCAAACCCATGTACAAAGTTCAAACGCGTATATAGAGGACATAATGAAATTCCAACAAGCGATATGATATGTATATATGCTTCTGCTGTGTTTCAATGCATGTGCGCAAATAGATATTTAATGACGTATAATGTCACTGCGAGTTTATTACGCATAACTTCCTCAATGGTATATACTGTTCACAATGGAGTAGATCATCATTGTTATAGGGCGGATCAAGATGGAGAAAGTCGACAAATACGTATGTTTTATGTGGTACCGAGTTGCATCATAATGTAAACAGAGTATAAATTGATTCAAGATAACTAAACTGAAATAAATACTTAACGTGTCATGGTACATTTAATATAAGTCTATTGTTCCGCTTAAACCCAGGAAACATACTATAAAGTAACCTGTGAATACGTATAGTGTGTGACAAAAACATTTTTGAGTTTTCAAATCCACACAAATTCAGAGTTTTTGGATCAACAAGCCAAATTTTGATGTTTTTGATACGATAATGTAAATCAAGAACGTTTGGCATTTCAAAAGCAACATCAGCATGAATTCAAATGTTGATACTAAATACTTCAAACAATCAAACTAATGTAAGCGATTCTTGGATTTGATATACATGTATGTATCTACGTATGAAATATAACTATAAATGCATTGACTGTTTATCATAAGTCAAACTTGAAATCTAACTTAACCTAACATTTAAAGACGTGATAAAGCATTAGAACAACTCAAAACAGCCCAGTCACAATGGGCCAGGAACAGGATATTAAGATTAGATTTTATTAATGATGAACTGCATAAAGAGGGGCATTCAATTCAAACGTTTAAGAATGTTGAATCTGACATGCACGAATACTTCCTTGTTTATGGAAAGAAACTTGACCCAATACCGAGACCAACAATAAGTCAGTTTAATATTATATTATCTTGTCAGAGAGCTGAAAGCTTTGGCAAAGCAACGTGGTCTACGTGGATATTCTCGAATGATAAGAGCTGAATTGATCGATTTACTCGGTTTGGAATACAACAAACCTCAGGCTGTAAGAGAACTCAAAGCTCAAGTGAAAAAAAGTGGGCTGAGAGGTTTTTCTCGAATGAGAAAAGCGGAATTGATTGATTTACTAGATAATAATAAATCAGTTGACGATGTTGATAAACCTACTGTTGTTAATAATAATGAGTTCACATTTGTACCCACAGCCGGCATTGGTTAAAATCTAAGAGGTTGGAAGATGGATATTAATTCCAACATGGATGTTAATGATGTTAAGCACATCGTATCAAGCAAACTTAACGAGGAGTTAGATGATTTAAAAAGTATAAAATACCAGCTGACGGTTAAAATGTCATTGAGTAAAAGTAACGCAGACGATGGCACTGAATATACCAAACCTTATTTCCAGAGCAATCAAGAAGTTATAACCGAACCCAATACTATAAGCGAATCATTAGATACATCAATTCAGGGGATACAAGAAACTTTAGAATGTAGAACTAAAAGAGGTTCGGGTTGTGGTGTGGATAAAATCGATAGTTTACATTTAGATATAGCAAATTATATGCCTTTCAAAGGTGGATCTTATATAGATTTACCCTCATATTATAAAAAGAAAAAAGCCATAATTAATGTAAAAAGTAAAGGTGATAACTGTTTTAAGAATGATGATAAGATCTGCATCGTTCCCCGTAGATTCTAAATTGCAAATAGACCTTCTAGCTATCCCCAAAACGATGGACTAAGCCTTGATGGTATAGACGAACCTACACCAATCTCACAAATTGATCAGGTGGAAAAGCAAAATAATTTAGCCATACATTTTTTCGGACATTCTGCTAAAGGAATTGTTGTACACAGGATAAGCTGTGCCCCAGATCATATTCCCAGAATCAATTCATTTCTGATCGAAAAAGATGGTAAATATCATTATACGTGGATAACGAGCTTAAGCAGGCTATTATACAATAAAAAAAAACATGCTAGAAAGAAATATTTCTGCGAAAGATGCCTGCATGGCTACAGCAGACAATATCTATTAGAAGGGCATAAAGCAGACTGCAGAGGTGTTGGACATACTGCCATCAGGATCGATTGGCCTAAAGAGGGAAAAAATATATTAAAATTTGAACATTATTGTAATCAAATGCCAGTACCGTACATAATTTACACTGACTTCGAAGCGCTTATCAAACCGATAGAAAATACCGAACGCAATACTGAATGTAGTTTTACGTACGAAACTCAAGAACATATTCCTTGTGGATTTGGATATATATAGTTGTAAGGTATGATGGGAAAACAAACCCGCCCGTGATTTTCAGAGTTCCCGATGCAGCGGGAAAGTTCCTAGAATATCTACAAAACGAAGAGAGAATAATTAGGGAAAATTTATCGCGGAAGAAACCCATGTGTATGACCAGGGATGATTAGAGGGCTTATAAGAAGTCAACGATTTGTGATGTTTGTAATAAACCCCTGAATGGGGATTCCGTAAGAGACCATTGCCACGTCACAGGTAATTATCGGGGAGCCGCTCATAACGAGTCTAACTTGAAAATAAAAATGAATTCTCAAACAATACCAATCGCCGTTGTGTTTCACAACCTTAGAGGATATGATTCACATCTCATTATGCAAGCTATCTCAAAGAGCGAC